AAAGAGATCAACAAAGGGGTGAAGCAGTCCCCCACCAAATTTTTCTGGGAGTACCCCCCTGGGTACTGTGAAGTTGTTCATTAATAAATACTGGACAGAATTTCAAATTTTATCCAGTGGTTAATTGTACGTTCCTCTGTATTGTCTGAACTGCAATGCTGGCCTGAGGATCAACTTTTTTGGGCAGTTCCAAAAGAGGGGGGTTGACCTGTTTAGGGTTAGCTCTTGATGGTATGGTATATCCTTAGCCCTTAACTTTACCCCTGCTTTTGACAGGTACCCATTTCTACTGTGACCTGGGGCAGGGGTACTCCCTTATATGCGCTATAGGGGTATGTGTGGCCCCAATAGGTATGGGTTTTCAGCCGTTTTGGTCATGGAAAGGGTATCAGTTTTGGCCATTAATTTTTGGCCTTAAATAGGGTATGGGTTTTGTACTCTAGCCTTGAATTGGGTAATGTTGTTTAGAAGAAGCTACTTTTTCATCATTATTGATAAGACTATAAACAAAAGGCCTTCAAAAATTATGTTCGGGGCAATTGTGTCAAATTCTTGGTCTGGTCATAAATAGGGTAGGGAGAATTGCAGATTTTGGTGATAAATAGGGTAAGGGTTTTGGGAATCTGGTCGCACTTCCCGACCAAATTTTTCTGGGAGTACCCCCCCGCCCCCGTCCTTGGGTACTGTGAAGTGTTTCATAAATAAATGCTAGACAGAATTCAAATTTTATCCTGTAATTAGCTTTAAGCTGTAAATTAGCATCTATTAATAATAAAATAAAGGACTTCTTCTGTGTTTCTATTCAACAGTTGGACTATAAGGTCAAGAATTCTTTGAGGTGATAGTTTGAGGCTCTATCAACTGTATTATCACCTGATGGAAATCTTAAGCTAGCAATCCAATAATATTGTCAAGTAGAATTGTTATTAAATTTTCTTCAAACCATGATTTACCATTGTTTCTTTATCAAACTATACTTTCCAAAATCTTTGTGGGTAGGTGTTTGAGAGGATCATCTTATATGTTCATCACCACAGTGGAACCCCGCCTTATGGCTACCCCATTCACATAGCCACCTTGTTATTATGGCCACTTTATTCTGGCTTGAACAAAAGCTCAGTCAGTTGGTCATTTTCTTATCGTACATGTTAGGAGTATTGTACACAATTTATAATAAGCATCGGGCATCACTTTGATAATGAAGTCCCATAACTCTATTATTTGGAGATTGTTTATCCCCTACCCCTGAAATTACCAAGGCTGATATCTCTATTATCATGTCATCAAAGCCATAATATTTTGACACCTACTGTACCAAACACAGTTTCCTTTAGCAGTAACAAGAGTCTTCCTTTAGTAAACCAAAATAGTACTTGCTGCCAGGTGCTTTATGAAAGTATAACCCTTCCAGAAGCCTTTACACAGTAATATCATTTGCTAACAATTTTTTTGTGGCTGATTTAAATTTTGTAATAAATCACACTGACCTGGCCCAGGTTTAATATACATTTTGTTGCATTTAGCTCACATGTTTTCAGTTTAAAGGAGAAGGTCACTCCAAAAAGCTTACTTTTTTGTCTTCACTTATAGCAAGTGAATATTCAGCTTTTCCACTCACCAAATGTTTAGCCTCTGAAGTGCCTGCTATTCTTAAGAAGTTCGTCTTGAAATTAAGAAGCGACTTTGGAGGCCACCATTTTGCAACTGGCTTGGCAGCCAGGCTGTGTTTATGTGACTTCATTCTGTCCAACTCAAAATTGGCGGGAAGGAGAAGAACCTCCAACTGACTTGGCACCTGTCACAAGGTCAGCAAATTCTTTTTTTTCCAAGCGATTATCCTCTTCACTATCTTCAATGCTATTATTTCCGAGTTTAGAGCATGTTTAGCTCAAAATAATATGTCTCAAGAGCAGCCATTACCCCAGAGTGGTAGACTGTCAAAAGGCTTGTCGGAAGCCGTTAGGACAAAATCTCTCGGATGGAATGATGTCATGAAAACTTGGCCTGGGTGCTTCTTTTGAGGCGAACTTCATAAGGAAAACCTGCACTTTAGACGCTGAAACTTCTGTGAGTGGCTAACCTTAGTGCAAGGTTTTCATTAGTGTTGACATAAAATGTATGTTTTTTGGAGTGACCTTCCCCTTTAAAATACACACATTAAGACTTAATTCAGTGGCAAGGTACCTCTTGTATGACAAGTAACAGTATACATGTATCCAAAAAACAAAATATGTATTGTCCAAACTCAGTCATGTTAGTAGTGTTAGTGTCTAATGAGTACCTGCAAANTGAACTGGCCCAGGTTTAATATACATTTTGTTGCATTTAGCTCACATGTTTTCAGTTTAAAGGAGAAGGTCACTCCAAAAAGCTTACTTTTTTTGTCTTGACTTAAGTGAAGACAAAATTATAGCAAGTGAATATTCAGCTTTTCCACTCACCAAAGGTTCAGTCTCTGAAGTGCCTGTCATCCTTAAGAAATTCGTCTCGAAATTAAGAAGCGACTTCGGAGGCCACCATTTTGCAACTGTCTTGGCAGCCAGGCTGTGTTTATGTGACTTCATTCCATCCAACTCGAAATTGGTGGGAAGGAGAAGAACCTGCAACTCACTTGGTATCTGTCAGAGGGTCAGCAAAATCTATTTTTTTCCAAGTGATTATCCTCTTCACTATCTTCAATGCTATTGGGAGTTTAGAGCATGTTTAGCTCAAAATAATATGTCTCAAGAGCAGCCATAACCCCAAGTGGTAGTCAAAAGGCTTGTTGGAAGCCACCAGGACAAAATCTCTCAGACGGAATGATGTCATGAAAACTTAATGGCCTGGGTGCTTCTTTGGAGGTGAACTTCATAAGGAAAACCTGCACTTTAGACACTGAAACTTCTGTGAGTGGCTAAGCTTAGTGCAAGGTTTTCATTAGCGTGGACATAAAATGTATGTTTTTTGGAGTGACCTTCTCCTTTAAAATACACACATTAAGACTTAACTCAGTAGCAAGGTACCTCTTGTATGACCAGTAATAGACTGAGTATACATGTATCTAAAAAACAAAATAATTATATACATTTATTGTCCAAACTCAGTCATGTTAGTAGTGTTAGTGTCTAATGAGTACCTGCAAAGAGATAGTTATACAATCATTCTAGCAACTCTCCTCAATATT